AAAAACTGAATTTAAATTAATCATTACAAGAAATAGTGATCAAAAATTTCAAATATCACAAGACAGTTGTATTTAAGATATCATACTCCGCTCTTTAGCACGGGTCTAAGTAACTCCAAGATCTTAAGTTTTTTTTCTTTGCGAGCATTTCCCTTTCATTTCTGATCCTGACGGCTTATTTGTTTGTAAAGGGATTACTTGCTTACGTACAATTACGTAGAAACTGTTGTAAACTAGTGAAAAATATTATTATACTGAAAATATTGAACAATAGGTATTGAAGATAAAAGATAAAGCTATGACGGCATCTGAGATTTCATTATTCAGAAATAATCCTTTTTGGCTTGCACTCAATATTTTTTTATCAATGAAAGTATTCATTGTATTGAATATAAAAATCTTTACTTGAAACAGAAACAACTGATTTTTATATGATAAGTAAATATTTATCTTTATATATGATGTGAATAACGTGATTAAAGGATATTGAAGATTTTACGAACATTTATAGCCATAAAAAAAATTGTTGGTAAAATAATTATTTTTATTAAATTTTAAACATATTGTTTCAGACTGTACATTGGACTTAGAAAAAAGATAACCCGAAGCTGTATAACACCAGCTCACCTTCGCATAAACTGTTGAACATCTCGAAGGATTATATTATTTACCTCGTGTCTCGGATTGTTGGTGTAAAAGAGTAAAACTTTATTTTCTGATTTGTTTAATGTTTATATATGGATTTTTTGGTAAGAGGATTTTCTCTCATATTTTCTGATCGGAGAATTGTTTAAAGAAAAATGCGAATTCGTAACAACACATTAATAAAAGTATACTAAATTTAAATTAAACTAATATTTTCGGATTTACTACGCGTTTTTTTATTTTTGATTATAAATTTCGTACTCCGTAGTTTCGGTTACTTTACAGCAAATATGATCACGGGCAGACGAGATGTGAGTGTCTGTCTCATGATATACTAAATAAGTAAAATAAGGTTTTTACTATGACGAAACCTTGAAAAATTTAATAAAAATTTAATAAATTAAGAATTTAATGGAAACACAGAAAATCATAATTCTATAATCATATAAAAATACATATAATTGGAGATAAAAAATTCTTTATAAATTAATATACATATATATATTCATTGACTTGAAATTGCTATATTCAGCAGCAAAAGTGAAAATATGTATGTAGTACTTATATTAGAGTGTTATATTTTAATTCGAAACCAATAGTTTAGAGTTCAGAGTAATTGAAAGGTTGAATCGTTTCACGCTCTTACTTGTTGAGGGTTTTATAACGAAATATACTTACCAAACCGTTTGTGAAAATCAATGTCCAAACTCTAACTGGGCGAGGACCAGGAGTTATAAATAATGGAGGAGGTATTAATAATTTGAGACCAAATTTACTCTATTTCTTATATTTTGCGGTGTTTAAAATAGCTCTATATAGTTGAGAAAATACACAAAAATGTTGCTATATTTCTTTAATTTTATGGGAATAAAATCTTAAATTATATATCTCTATGATTTTTAAAAACTATATCATTATTTGATGAAAATAATTTTAGCCTATAATACTCTTAAGATTAATTCACAAATAGAATGTAAGCAAATTTGGTTAATAAAATTAAACCACATCCATCCATGTAGTCTGTCGTCCTAGTGAAAGTAACCTGATAAAGGTGGCTGAATCAGCGGCATCTGCTCAATTTCCCTTCAGATTTTGTTTCGGGTCGAACCAACCGATATTGTTACTACATATTCATTATCCTAAAAGGATCTAATAAGGGCTTGATTAATAAAAGCACCTTTTCGTGTACTTATTTTTTGTATTTTTAAAATTAAATAAATAAAAAACAACTGTTCGAAGAGTTTACTTCAAAAGTTGTTTTAAAGATGTACATTTGTTTTTCCATGTTTATTATATATAATTTTACTGTTAGTATAGAACATAGGATGTTCTCTTTTGTATAATTCTATTTCAATCTGTATTATTTCATTATGATAAATGTTAATCATAGCACAACTAAAGATCTGATAAGAGCTTATTACGTAATCCATTATAAACTAACTGTGTAACCAATACATATTAAAAAACGAACTTGTTCCGTATAAATCATTCAACCCTTAAATTGTAATCCAGGGTATCTTAGACCGGCTCTGTGTCGGCCGCACCGGTAATATTTTAAAATTTCAGACAAAGCTCCGCAGATTTACGATCGGATTGTGTAAATTGGAAAGTTTGGGAAGACATATTGCACCATCGCCGAATTAATGCCGCACGGGGATTTTTACTGAAACTTACCCGTCACTTTATTAAGCATTAAAAGGTAGTTTAGTTCCAATAGCGCAATAAACCTATTAAACTGAATTAATGGAGTGATACAAAAGAAAACAAGGTGAATAAATAAATATCTTTATTTACAAATTTTATTTTGGTATGATGATTGAAAATATTTTAGCCTTTGTAAAACTTTAATAAGACATAAAAAGGTACGGTTATTTTACTTAAAACAAGTGATTACTAAAACAGTACACTCAACTAAAACATAAATTTTGGAATTGTTTTTATATTCACTGTTAAAATAAAGTTAATGAGACACAACAGGAAATTTATTGAAACGAATCCATTGTACTGCACTGAGGAACAAGAACATTCGTCAAATGATTTACGCGCCCACGAGTCTGAGATACGACGTGATTGTACAGAGAAGTTAACTAGATTATGTGCATATAATTTTTTAGGGTAGTAAAATATTAAATTGCATATATTTTCATCCTCGCTTTCCTATAGCATAGTAGCCCAATTACTTTTCCTGCATTTTTCCACTGAAACCTGTGACTTTTCAAATAATAACATTTTCAATGCATTGGTAAGAAGAGATTTCTTATCTGAAGTTGATATCGGTTTCAGATTCACGAAAAACTATGAAAGTTAATATAAAGTCATGTCATCGATTTTCAAGATCGAGTTTTCAGGATTTCTCTTTAAATAGAAGAGCGACTCTGCTAGTTTCTAATTTTCTGACTTGATTTAATTTTCTTTAAGTACGACACTTGTAAAAGGTATATAAAAAATGATACATCTCTAAATATAACGTAAATTTTTGTCATTACATTTTAGACGATTTAAAGACCAGCGTATTATGTCTTCGCTGCATTTTTCTCCAATAACGCAACTTTTTGTGTTGGGACACCAGCCACATGCATAGGCGTTTGGTATGGATGTACAGGTATCACAGTCAGTTGCTAAGTTTTCACATCTGTATACAGTTAATGGAATAACATTAGAGAATGGTTCCATCCCTCCCCAGATAATCTGTAAGATTCCATGGATTGCTCCCTGATGAGGTTTATATTTAAACACAATAGGGTAACAGTAAATCATATTTTGAATTATCAATGCTTTGAGATGTGTCAGACGATTTTCGAGCTTCACTTGACATATGGCTTCCTTTTTGTAAATAGCTGGATCTGGTGCAATTAATTTAACCTTGATATTAACTTTCATTCCATATGGAATTATAATTTTATCATTGTATTTTATACTTGGACAGAGATCGTAAGATTTAAAATTTTGAAATCTTTTAAGGGCTCTCGGACAGAATCTTAAAGCATCGTCTGTACATCCGTAATCATGGCACCAATCACATTTATATAAAGTAGTTTTGACGCACTCGGCGCAAGTCTTAATCTTGCGACAGTATTCCTTTGGATTCAAGGGAATTTTGGCGTCCACCAAACTTTGATTAAGCTTTGTTTGATTTGAATTTATTGAATCTTGTATTTCATTTTCAGATGTGACTATTTTAGTTTCGTTATTAAAAATTACACTTTCACATTGAACACTACTTATTAAAGTGTTAGCCAGGAATAAAAATAAAGGAAACATTGTGACTCGATGAAGTCCTTTTCAAAAATGTGATAGAAAATTACATCTTTTCCTTTTTATAGTGGAGTATAAACTCTACTATTGTAAGTTATTACGTATAATGGATTGAGAATATCATAACATATGAGACAATAGTCACTTATTTATTAATCTATGAACTTACTTTCATAGTTAAAGAGGATGTTGTGATATTCAATAAGGATTGTTATTGTAATAGTAACAATGTAGTAGTTCTTCTTAATATAATATAAATAGGTATTCATAACTTGCAACATTTTTGCAATTATACTACGTATAAGGAAAAAAATAAAAAAGAGATTAAAATAAAGTAAATATTTTTAATTTTACTTTAGAAACAATCAAAACAAATAAAGCTAGTAGCTACAGAAATCTTCAAACGAAATTCGCAACAAAACTGCTTTTAAACATGTTTACTTCACATACCCACAGTACAAATAACTGGTGCGAAAGTTTTACAAAGATTTCGTATAGTTAGCACCAGTTGAAGTTGGACTTTTAATGAAAAAGTTTGCAATGTTGAACGTGGAGCTGCTGTTTTAAGACTTTGTGATAATCGACTTGGATACATACTTTCACATTGAATTGCAAGTATTTTCTGTAGATTTTTCTTTGTATTCTATCAATTCTATCAGGGCTATTCTATCAATTAAATCAGTTTAAAAATTCAAAAGGATTCTTCTCATGTAACCTTCTCATTTCAGACCAGCCTTTTTTTATATATTGCATTTAATTACAGTAAATAATTTCCCAGTCAAAATTATTCATAAGTAATTATTTTAAGCATCTTGATATGTAATAAGATAATGATTTTATAATCGAAATTCATATTAAAAATATGAGAAGGAATGCTGTTAAAAATCTTTAAACTTCTTGGAATAATTTACACCAAAAATACAGTATACGGACAGTGTAAGTAATTTTTGTATTATGTTTACTAAAATTGTTAAAAAAATAGAACAATGTTCTCTTCCTTTACGTGCCATTAATAAATCATATAAATTTTCTTCATTTTTATAATCAAATATCTGTATTTAGTTTAATGAAATGTTTATAATTAATGTTTATATTAGCATCTAAGTAGTAGCTCCTCCTATTGTAGAGTTGCCACCTGTTGTGTTCCCTGCTGAGTTTTCGGTGGTAGCAATGTCACCAGCACTTGTGACCGTGGCTTTGCCTACAGTTGTTTGCGCGATAATTTTCGATGTAGAACTAGGTATCTTCAATTTATTTTCACATCCTACGTAAACATTGACAGATATTGGATAATTATATGGTGATGTTAATCGTACCACAATGTATTTATGTCTAAGACCGCCTCTTATTATTTCTACTCGAGGCCCTCGTCCTACGCCGAGGCGATCCACAACACGGAAATATGTTATCTGAAATAAAGTTTTAATTTAATAAAAAATCCATTAACAAGTTACATCCCTGCTCTATAAGCAATTGATAACAATTACTTGGCTTTTTATTTAACATTAGATCAATACATTAAATATAATGTTTTACCGGACATTTAAAAAGTCTTCCATACTTTGCGTACACGGATCGGAATGGAATTTTTTCTTTGTAGAGCGTATCTTGTGCCACTAATAGATCTTTTTTCTTAAACATACCCATATAAAAATCTCTAGACAAACACACATTCAGGCAAAATGTTAAAATAATGAGACGTTTACACATTTTATTTACGTCCCAGTACAATGATGATAAAACTTTTAATTAACATTTTATGTATTTTTTATTATACTTTTAACAACATTTACTTGGTTTTAAACAATAAAATTAGTAATTTATATTTGTAAATCTTACAAAACTTCATCTGCATTTTTGTATATGCATGTATATCACATGTTTCAGTTTTGAATTGAATTGGATGCAAATGGAAGTGAAGTTTTGGCAAACCTGTCAGTATGTCATTTCGTTCGATACTAGGGAAAATTCTTATCAAAAATACTAATATTCGTGTAGCAAAGTTGTGTAAATTACATTTTACATATTTTCTAAGGTTGATACATAGCACATTCAATACATCATGTTGATGATTATAAACATGCATTTCAAAAAAGATATTGGTCTATATATAAAACTTAAAACAGTTTTTTGTAACGTTCGAATAAAATGTAATTTATTGTTATAAAATACTCCTATAAATGATTTTAAGAAAAACTATTTGTTTATAAAATGTATTTTTCTGTTTGTTTTGCTGACTATAAATTTGTTTCTAAGTTTGATAGCTAATTGCTGAAATTATAAAAATAATCATGCTACTTTAATCCTGGAGACTAGTTAAGAAAGACAGTAAGATTATTTTTTTTATTTCAATATTTTTCTAATAGTCCATAACATATGGGCATACATTTTTTATACTACATAAGTCGTATATGTTTTGTAACAATGTAAGAAAAACCTGAGGGGATATGAATGACATTTGATCCAAACAGTAGTATTCTCTGGGTAGAATTTAGGAAAACATATTTTTTACTTGTCCCCCAAAGGAAATTTTTTACATTAAATTTATACAGTAACTGTAACTGTGTATATATATTTTAAAATAAACATGATCACCAGTTTCACATTTATTTTAACGAATGAAAACAGAGAAGCATTTTATTACTACTTCTTTAATACACTTATTTTGTAGCTAATACATAGTACATCGAAGCGCACGTTGTCGAGGACATAACTGGCAAAAATAAGAATGTTTATATAAACGATTTTATAAATGAACGTCTGTTTCAAAATGATTGCTACATAAGTGAGCTTTATGTTTCAGAACTCGTGTTTCTAACGACTGAATTTGAACCCACAAATAACACTTCTTCACAAAACGAAGAGAATTGAGACAAATTGTTTACGTTTTAAAGGTGTTTACTCGGCAATTGGCACAATATCACAAACAATAGGTAGTCACCTAAGCAACGAGCTGTTAAGTTCATTTCAATTAATTTAAGTGGTTGTGTTATTGTAATAAATCGCGTGCAATCTATAAAACAAAACCAAAATCTGCCCATTGTGTGTCCAGCATTTAACTGAATAATAGATTCAAATCATGACCTATCGAATTGAATCGAAAACCAGGCCACATGCATATTCAAAATATTATTACAAATACCATTGTTGAACAACGAATCGATACTATTCACATGATGGATTGTCCCCGAACTAGCGTTCATCCATCAATCGCCGGGTGATTGAAGACTAGCTTGACACACGATTAATTCGTACTAGTATTCCCAAGTTCGGATTTTTATTTTTGTACATATATGAATAAAATTGAATCTACCATATTTTTGCCTCTCCGATAACATCAAATACATGTTTTAGATAATAATTAAAACATATCTGATAGATATGTTTCATACGTTATAAACATATGATAGATTGTTTTAAAGACAAACGTTCACTACAATAAATCAAATGGTAAGTGCCTATAACACATCACACAAAGCGGCCGGGGAAGCGTTAACACTCTCAAATCCGGCTTTTACATTAATGTGTTTATTTATAAGCAATTTCCTTCCCTCATGGGAGTATACATACGGTTACTACTACTGTATTATAATGATCTCCCGAAAGAGCAGTAAAGTATTCATATATAATATATACAACAAGTAAAGCAACATAAGCTGTATATGTATATATATAATATTTGTTTTTGTATCTGATGTATTTCAAAATAAAATATATGAATATCAAAAGAGAAGTTATTGAGAATTATTATTGGCTTGAAATCATACCATACATATTTTAAGTACGGTTGGATTTTTATTACAAACTATAGAAAATTTATAAATAAAATGAAATGAAATTTAAAACCGTATGTTTTTTTTAGTATAATAGAGTTCGGTTGAGAGCTATGATAGCAAATGGAGAGCTGCTAATTCGAGGGTGCATTGTAGTGTGCACTTTTGTTATTCGAGATACATTTAAAAACAGAATGTTGCAATTATAATAGTATATTATAAAATTCACACCGAGGTGTATACTGTACTCGTTTTAAAATAAAATTATTATAAAGGATTTTCTTTTACATTAACTTTTCATACATAGTCTTTCTTTTATTAAAAGCAGACGGAATAATTATATTATTCCATGTATTCATTACTTAATATGTGTGTTATCGTTATAAAAACCTTTTGGAGATGTAATATCTTACTCATAAGAGACTCATTGAAAAGAAAATAATTGTTGAGATTAAGATCTATATACTATAAATTAAAAGCATAAAATTTGATACTTATTTAAAAGTAAATGTTTTATCTTACATTGATTTTTCTGGAAATTTGCATATAGAACATGAAATAATTGATATATAATTTTATTAAAAGACTTTTTTTATGATATAATGTAAGTATGATGTTAAAGGTATTTTTGTTAGTATTCTATAAAGACTGTAAATGCCAGTTTTATCCCCATCTGTTTTCTACTTTGGAAGTGACGAACAAAAAAATATAAAAGAATTTCTTAAAATTGGGTATTGGTCTATGATTGAACTTAATATTTTCTTTCTATAAAATAAAATATCAAGAACTTTTTAACCTCTAACAAAACATAAAAAAATTAAGAAACAACCAAGAGTTAATTTTATCGACTTATGTGAATTTTATGAACAAATTTAAAAATGACTTATTACTTTGCTCAGGGACTTCCTTATCTGTAAATGTGAAAACAAGAAACGATACAATACATAATACTTAACGTCAAAGCAGAGTAAATAAAGAGTGGAATAATCCAATAAAATTTTCCAATTTCACCGTTTGTCGGCACCTGTGACGCTTTCCATGAAGAAATGAATATTTCTCTACAATTCCTATGCAGGTCGACGGGACCACGGTTTTACCTTTATATTAAATATTGTAACCAAAATATAAATAGTTTGCTGTAGAATAACATTTGTATTACATTTTATTGACAAAAATGTTTTACAAAAAATATAAAACGTAATGCTTAAAATAATAAAGACTTAACAGTAATGAAACGTGCAAAGTAACCGCCGTATAAAATAAGTGTATATGTATTGTTTTATACTTCACAAATAGGAACTTTATAAGAAATAGAAATATATTGGAGGACTTGATGTAAAAAACGAAATTTTGAAAGTACATAGATAACATTTTCTGTTATTTTTAGTAATTTTTTAGTGGTTTTGGAAATTATTCTTCTTTTTGAAACAGTAGAACAAATTTTATTTAAATAAAAATGTATATAAAATTAAGTGGTTGGAAGAGCAATGAGGATAAAACTATTTTAATATATTTTTTCAGTTAACATTAAATTTCAAGATCAATATAAATCTTAAATAAAAGCGAATCTTGGTTTAAATTTCATTTAAAGACAACCCTAACTGGGTTTAGAGAGTCCAATAGATCGGCTTAAACAATGGCAGCTTGCAATCTAAGAGCACTTAAAGAGTTAAAGAGCCTTGCTAGAAATAATTACTCTTTAATTGACACTTGAAGCAATGGATCTGAATCTGAATTATTAAAGTTTTTAAGTATTTTTTATTACATTTGAAGTTTCAATCTTATTGTAATCTTTTCCTCAAATAATAATAAGAACTCTGCATGAAATAAAAATAAATCGATCTTCACTGAGAGGAATTTAGATTAAAATTCTTAATGTGAAATCAATTTAAGGTAAACACAAAGCGATATGGGTATTTCGCCTACTTGAAAAGGGTCGGGGTAATCCCTCGTAATATTTTGTATAATCATCTGCAAATTACAGTCCTGTATTACATATTCCGTTTTCATATTTTCTTGGGAAATTTATTCTTATACCTTCTGTTTAATTTTCAGACAAATTTCATTTTATTTAAATAAAAAGTCCATAGAAGTTCTTTATTTATTTCTTTTAATTGCATGAAAAGTATATTTAAGTATCGTTTTGATATTATAAGGAAAACATAAAATAGTAATCGAGAAATAAGATATAACCTTCATCATCGTTAAACGATTTGCAAATTGCTGACAAACACAAAACGCTTCATTTGGTTACAAAGTATGCTTCGAAAGACCTCTTGATGTAATGATATTTAAGATTTTAGCGAGTACACATTTCAATGGACTAGAATTTTCTAATATATTTTTGCCACACTAGAAACGACACCTTACTGGCTACGATGGACGCCCATACATTGCCAAAAACAGAATCAGATGCAAGAGAATCCACTTAAGAAGGTCCCAATGCCTTGTAGTTCGCAAATGGCTTAAACCGGACCAGATCTTAAAGTTTTTTCGTAGACGACAACACTAACTGCGACATTATTGTAAAGGTCTAATTAATGAACGTCCTCGAACCAAATCCTTCACATGAAGACTTGCTGGTAGCAATGATTGCGAGTGAGAGTGGCTAGATAGCAACAGCTTAGTTCTGTAAGAGTGTTATTTATCAGTTGGAGGAGGTGGATTGAGAGGGAGCCAAACCTTACCTTTCTGCCCCGTTGGTGAGGAAGGACGTAAATAATAGGACAGTATGACTCTCTTGTCTCATTTTGAAGCATTGGCTAGTCGTCAACTGATGTGTAGGACATAGCTGTTAGTGAGATGGTTCTGCACATTCGATCAAACCAACCAAGTTCCTTTCATTATCCTAGGAGTTATGATGAATCCACTACTGTTGATCCACCTTTGATGAGGAGTTAGTTCAGGGCCTTCGCTGAAGCATTCGTCACGTGTATTGTGTATGCAGGGACATTTAGTAGGTAACCTCTCTGGGAAACATTCCCGAAGGAACAGGGCACTTGTCACACTAAGAGGGCCCCGGGAGTCACGTACACTGGGCAGCCGCATAACGGTCTGTCATAGAAAAATTCCCGGAAAAATAAGATTTATTTATTCCTAGCTTTTTCTTTTGTTTGAAAAAAAAGGCAACCTGAATGAAAGGAATAGGAAAGAAAAGTTAAAACTATAATAATGCTGTAGGAGAAAATAACCATCTCCCTAATTATATATACTCAAGACGTTGTTATTATAAATGTATTTTGTGTTATTATTTAAATACAATAGCTTGAATTTAGTATTATAGTTTGAGATAATAGAAAAGTTGTTAGTAAAGTCAGAACATTTGAAAATTTTGTAAAATTGTATATTATATTTTAATGTTATAATAGTTGAGGTTAAACAGGTTTTACTATTTAAATTTAATATCTCTTTAATGTCTATTGGATGTGCTATTATTAATAAAGACTTCTGTATTTGGTTGAAAGTAATATTTGGCAGCTAACTCTAAATCTTTGTGTTCCAATATTACCAGTAGACAAAAGCATTTTATTTTATATAATACATTTTTTTTCTATTCGTTGTACTCAGAGGATTTTGATAATATATAAATTCTTCATATAAGCGACAGGCCGTTAACTCCTTCTGAAGTAATTAATCTTATTGGTCAGTCTTGTAACTTCTTCCTTTAGCTAAAAAACTTTTATAAAACGTGTTCATATCCTTATATCGCGTAAATTGATTTAAATACTTTAGTACGTAAAGTTAGTTTTTGTAAACCATAAACATACACTTTAATTAATAATTAAAGATGTTATGTATTAACTGCTTTGTTTTGTTTGTAATTGTAAAATATTGTAGCCAGATTAAAGTCTTTGTATTCTAACACAGCATGAATGTGTGCCTTTGTATTATATAACAGTGAGAATGGGTGGCGGAAAACTGTAGATAATCACTCAAATTGGACAATTGGAGCCCTGACCATTGTCCATTGACGTTATAAGCACACAGCTGGTAGATTTTTTTAGACAACAAATGATAAATATAGAAATTGTAAGAGGCTTTCCGAGATGATGTTTCGATCTATTTTAATAACAGACTTCTTAGAAGAATTGAAAAATATGTCAAAGGCAAAACTTTTATCATAATTTATCTTCATAATGCTACGTTTAAGTAAAAATTTATTAATAGTGTGCATGACTCTTGTGTTTGAAGTTTGCAAAAGCTTTTTATCGTTTATGATTTTTTAAATAAACAATAAAGCAGAGAAAAGATCAGTTTTTCACGAAATATTATATGAACACAATAAAGGTACAACGTATGTTTAATTATTTTTTTTTTACAATTATGGCACTGTTTTTTTAAAGTAATAAACGTGGTAAAGATAAATGTTAGTGTTTTTAATATTTAAGTAAATAACGTCGTAAAAACTGAAACTTGACAAAACTGTAAATCTGCAATCTAAGTAGTAGTTATACTCAAACGAGTATAACTACTACTTAGATTGCATTTATCAGTGAACGGCTTATTTTGGTTCGAAGATCGATTTTAGAGGGCAAATACATTTAGCTGCACAGTTTGCAATATGTTTATCTGTAATACCCGAAGGACAGGGGAAGTACACATAAGGACATACATTTTGTAATAATAGATGATACAACTATAAACTTGTATTGGTTAGATCCAAAAAGATAAAAGACTAAGATTATTACTCACAATATTCTCATCGTTTCAATTTATATTTTGAAAATAAAGAAGATAATATATTATCTTTCTTACAAAAATAAAAAATAATATATATTAATTAAAAAAAAATTATATTTTGTTAATTATAAGCTTTTCCATATATCATGAATAAATACGCTTTTCTAATGCAATTAGGCCATCGATTCCAATAGAACAGTAGTGAAACCACATGACCAGCAGTCGTTGTAAACGTTCCCGTTCGCCACCTATTTTGAATTTACTGCTATGACCCTTGTAATGAAATCTATTTAGGAATAATGTGCCATGTTTAAACAATGCTATTGCCAAGTTTGTGTTATGTTTGTGTTTGTAACTGAACTCCACGAATTTTCTATTTTTATGAAATTGTGTACATTATTATCATTGATTAAATTTGTATCTTTCAAATTTAAAAGTATTTCTTTATAATTTAAGTAAAACAATATTGATTCAGCAACAGTGACATGATAAATTAAAAAAAAAAGTTTATATACTTAGCTGTAAAATATAACATTTCTTTTTATTTATATATTTTTCAAGTTATTTAAGTGAAAGAGAAAGCACATTATGCAAATTTATATGTGAGTATGTTCATTGCGGATTTTCATATTATATTTACATAACAATACAAACAGGAGGTTGCTTCGTCAACTAAATATGTTCAGTTTAAACGTTTTGAATTCATAAGTCGTTTTAGATTTTAAAATAAATAACCTCAAAAGCTTTAATGTCGAGTTGAAAGATAAATCACGTATTAATATTACTTTTACTGTTAGCTGTGTAATGATAACATTAGTAAGCTATGTTATTTATTAAAACATATTTATCTCAAGTAATTTCCATTATTGTAATGTGTAAACGTTTATGAATATTTTATTCATTAGAGTTACTCTCCCAAAGTAAGACGGGATCCTATTAGTAAATGTCCTTTACTTAACTGTTACCAGGATATATTAAGATATATATTAATAAGTTAACATTAAGTTCACAAATGATGTACTTCCGTTTCTTCTACAGCAATAAATACAATAAAATAGAATTTAAGGGGGCGCACATACTAATACGAGATTTAATAGGTAATTAAGGGGACGGAATCTTCCATTGACCAGTCCAAATCTCAATGAGCCAGTTTTTCTTACTAACTTTTTTCCAGCTATTCTCATACTAGAAGTTAAGTAAAACATGTTGGGTTTTTATTAATTTTTCTATTTTTTTTCCCTCTAAAGACGTGTTGATTTTTTCTTTGAAAAATAAACATTGAAATGCAAATAACATCTTACAACAGAAGAATAATAAAGCATGATTTTATTCCAAAGCAAAGAAATCATGGAAACGTTTGGAATGCTTTTATAATTCATTCTAAGAGAATATTCATTTAAAAATGAAGAAAATTAATGCACGCTTTTGAAATATTTCCTAGAGCTACATGATATTAAGAATTATATTTTATATAACTTTTATCTAGTACAACTTATTATCTATGTGCAATTATTTTTATGTTTTATTTGACCATTTTCTTTGACTTAAAAGATATTTTTAATTTTAAAATCTTTCTAGGTATTTAACTAGAACATAGAAAAAGTGGGTATTTTCTTAAATTATATAAATGTTACTTAAACCTTTTATTTTAATTATCACATTTCTTTAATATTGTTTTATAGTTATTTTTCGATAGAATGTTTCTACTTTAACAATTACCAAAAAGTACTTAAGAAATTGAGTGTATAAACCAAAGCAGTAATGTTCCATGAAAGTCACAACTTTCATGGAACATTGTCATTGTAGGTCTCGCTTTGCTTTAGTACCTACAGCTCGAACGTGGGCTAGTTCAACCGGGGAATTACCACTTTCTTACAGGAGATCGGCGTGAAGTCGTACTTAATGGCCATATTTTGCCCGAGGAGTTAAAGAACTGTTTGCCCTTTTCCCACCCTTTCGTGCTCTTTTTCTTTTCTTAAACTCTCTTCTGTTTCTCCCACAATCAAATTTAGCAAATAATGTGCAACTTCCCTTATGTTGCAGATTACAGACTACCCCCATCGGGTAGGGCGCCTGCTGTATTGTCGGTTTGAAAAAAAAAATACTGTGTCAAACGTATTTCAAATTAAGTATGAATGAGAAATTTTGATTACGATAGTATGTGAACAGTAATTTTAATAATTCTTCCATCTTTTCGGTCTAAGCTGTCGTACGTCTTAAGTGTAATACATTATTTGACTCGAAAAATCTTAAGTTACTTTTTATATTACATACGACATAAATGGACTATAAAAAAAAAAGAAAATACGATAGGAGTTTACCTTAAAAGTCTGAACTTTAATAAAATAAAATGTTCAGTGGAAAAGAAAATTATAATGAAAATTATCTTATGTTTTCATCGGATGATTCTCATAATATCCTTTATTACTCTGGGGACTTAAATTAGGATCAGAATAGTCTTCAATTATGTTTAATTTTGTTAGAAAAATTTGTATCATGCTATATATTTTCATTGCCTTTACACATAAGACTTTCACATATTTTAAATATATTTGTATGTTTATCAAATAATTCAATTTCATTGATTTTTCTTGATTCGTCACAAGTTACGTAAAAAAACATGTCATTAAATTCGTAGTGGCCTAGTGGTTAAAGGCCAGCCTATCGCGGGCGCGGGTTCGAAATCTGGCAAGTACGAATGTGATTTTTCCGAGTCATTAACTTTCGAAGAGTATTTAAACACCACTGACAGACGGTGACAGAAAACATCGTGAGGAAATCTTTGCTTATAATTTCCAGTTATAAGTTTGAAATCGCCAAACATCTTGACCAAGCGTGGTGATTAGTGCTCAAATCTTTTCAATGTGAGAAGAGGCCTTTGATCAACAGTGGACTCTGATACTCTGTTAATGATTATATGGTAATTTGTTTTCAACAAAAAACTCCTCAATTTTGAAGCCGGTTAAAAAATCCAAAAATATTGAAAAATAAATCAGTGACATGTTAATAATACTAATTAATATAAGTTTTACATAAAATTGCCTCAGTAAAGTGATTCGAGTGTGTTTTACTGACCAGAACTGGCAATGAACTACTTAAATGTGAAATTAAAACCTGTAATTAAATAAAATCGTTCTAGATATTTTACGCAGCTTATAATTAATGGATTCTAGATTCATTAATGCTTTCAAATGAAGTTTTATATTCTAGTTGGCTGCAATGTGAATATTGGCTCTCTTCACTTATATAAAGTTTTAAAGTACATTGAATATGTAAAAGATTATTTTACAATATAACATATAGCAGAACTGGTTCCATTACTTTAAGCAATTGTGGATACAATACAAAAATATGGAAAGTTAGCCGAT